ATAGCAATAGCAATAGCAATAGCAATAGCACTTAGACTTATATACTGCTTCATAGTTCTTTAGAGCCCTCTCTAAGTGGTTTACAGAGTCAGCATATCTCCCCCAACAATCTGGGTCCTCATTTTACCCACCTCGGAAGGATGGAAGGCTGAGTCAACCTTGAGCCTGGTGAGAGGTGAACTGCCAGACTGCTGGCAGCCGGCAGTCAGCAGAAGTAGCCTGCAGTACTGCATTTTAACCACTGCGCCACCACAGTATTAGTCTTCATCTTTCTGTATTCAAAAAAATCTTTAATAGAAAGAATGACATCTTGAAATGATGCTCTGAAAGCGGGAATTGCTATACAAGGAAGACTGCCTTAAGCTCAGAAACTGAAGTTAGTCAAGAGTTTCTATTATTGGAAAAACTGTGAGATCCTAGGTGCTTTCTCAGCTTGGTTTTTTTTAAATTTATTTTCAGATTTAATTTCCCAACTAGGTTAACATCACCAGCACTGATGCTGTTAGCTAGTTGGGCAATGAAATAGCTGCAAGAAAACAACCAAGTTCAGAGAACACAAATGACCCCACAGTTTGACTCTGAGATACAAATATTCTCTTCTGATGGGAAAACTTTCTGTCACAAGCTTCATAGAACTTCAGTGATTCAAGGAAAACAGCAGCTTTGTGTGGGTTTCCCCCATGAATTCCGATGCAGCCAAGAAACAAAGAAACAAATTCTGCTCTCAAATCTATTTACTGCATATGAGCCTATATTTGTAACTTCCTCCTAACAGAGATGCCATAGGGAGGATCAAGGAGAGAGAATTATGGAAGAGTATTTCAAGTTTGACCCTTCTCGGTATCTGTCATGATATAGCTTGTATATACAAAAGAGATGAAACTTCCAAGATGACAGTGCAATATTGCTTTTATTATTTTGGATCATGCCAATACCACTGGCTTATGTACATTGTACATCAACTCCCCAATCTTCCATTCAGTAGTGAGTTATTCTACCCGTCTTTCTTCATTTTATTGGTTTAGCTGGTATTTTTTCTAAGCTCCCTCTATTATTTATAAATTTCCTCTTTCTTTTCTCCTATCCTTGTCAGCTTTAACTTTCGTTTCTAATTTTATAGAACCAGCTGTTCTTTTCTAGATAATAAATAGAAGTAGGAGAAGACCACAATCTGGAAAAAATATATAAATTGTTTGCATGGCACACTTCTCTAAAAGGAGAAAATTTACTGTACTTGAATGGTGGAGGAAAACAAGTTCTCTTACATGTGCTTTTCTTCTCCTCCTTTTTCATGCGCTTGAGGCGTTTCAACATTCCCCGTAGATCAGTGATGCCATATTGAAATGCAATTTTCTCATATTCGGATGGCGGAGCCTTCCGAAGGATTTCCCAGACATCAACCTCTGGCTGTGATTCAACTTTTCCTTCATTTCTACAAAGAAAGGACATGTAGCCTCAGATTATATTTCACTTGAGCAATTGAGCAACATCCAGAATCTTGGTTTCTCTCTTGTCAATAACATTTGGTATTTCAAGATAGCAACTAATGGTGTGCCTTCTAATTTTCTTGAATTAGATATTGGGTTTAGACATATGCTGTAAATGTGAAGGATCTGGATCACTTCAACATTCACATAAGCAAGAGAAACAAGGTGGGAGTAAAAGGTCTGTGGGTAGCAGAACGCTGCTGGTTTCCTAACATAGAGCTAGTAATCCTGTATTTTACAGAATGTACAAATGTGGTCTGAATATCTTAGTGATGAAGAACAGCTGGGCCTTAGTTTCAGATTCTTAAGGTTGTGGTTAAGGAATAGGAAAACGTTCTACTTGTTTTGCATGAATTTATGGAAAAATCTTCCTTAGGTACAGGTAAGTGCCTTATTTTACAATTAATACTTCAAAAGGTATGTGCCATCCATGGATTCTAAAGATGACTTTGGTCCAAAGGATGCAAGAATTTAACTTTGGATAATATAATTAAATCATGACTGCTTGTTAATTTCATGTCTCTTAAATATCAATAGTGATATCTATCTATCTATCTATCTATCTATCTATCTATCTATCTATCTATCTATCTATCTATCTATCTATCNATCTATCTATCTATCTATCTATCTATCTATCTATCTATCTATCTATCATCTATCCATCCATCCATCCATCCATCCATCCATCCATCTATCTATCTGTTTAATTTTTTGTTTGGTGTGTTATTAACAAAAACATGGTGAGTTTTCTAAAGTATTACATTTTAACACATATTATGATATATGATATCAGAGTCCAGTTCATCAGATATAAGATTTTAAACCATAAAAATGTAATATATTTATTAGCCTTTAAAGTGCTATATGCTATGAAGTTACTTTTTCTTTTATCTTTTTTCTCCTTTTTGCTCCAAAAGACAGTTACCTTTCTGGAAAAGTTTTACTGACAATTATCACTGGAGAAGAGATGGAGTGAATGCTTACCGATGTACCGAGCGCAAGAAACTGCTGGACTTCAAAACAATGCCGAGAAACATTTGCAGGAACATGCAGCAGCGTCCCCATAAGCAAGAGAGAGAGCATCAGGAGTTAGTAGTATCAGCAGCCATCACTAGAACAAGCTTCAGCTCCCTTGATAAAAAGTCTAAATGTTTACCACACTGAAAAATGGTAGCAGAAAAGCAACTGCACACACAACAATCCAATTCAATGTAGCTTATAGTCTTATAATTTATAACAGTCTCAAAAGAGTATGTTACTACTGTGCCTCCCTGAAAATAAGACCCTGTCTTTTGACTCCCGAAATAAGCACTTGGCTTTATTTTCAGAGAGGTCTTATTATTTTTGAGGTGCAGGAGGCAGCGAGCAACATGGCTGTTGCTGTTTTGCAATATTTTGGGGAGGGCTTATTTTGGGAGGAGGACTTATTTTGGCGCATGCGCTCAAATTGGGC